ATTCATGCTAGCTTAACCCAAGTATTTACAGTAACATTTTCACAGAAATCACATCTCATTAGCTCCTTCCTGTGGGAAGGAGGCTGGGGAGAGAGTAATAAATTGGAAACATCTCCCATTCTGCATAGAAAGAAAGTGAAAGGAGCCAAGAGACCAAGATATAAAAAGATGGCTTTTGTATGTATATACAATTGATGTGCATTTGCTCACTGAAGTAGAACATGAGAACCTAGCAACAGCTACCTGTCCTTCTGATGCTAATGATCTCTGTATCGTAAAGGAGTGGCAAATGCTCATTTTGATCCTCATTTTGGATTCTGAGGAGAACAAGTGCTATGTACAATGGGAAGTAAAACCAAGAACAACTCTTTCAGGACACAAACCCTGTTCTTGGACCCTTCTGATGAGCACAATTTGCCTAAGAGTCTGAAGCCGAAAGGGAATTTTATTTCACTAGTATTGATTTACACTGACTTACCCCAGCTGAAGAATTTAAGGAACCTTATAAAACATAAAAGGAAAAATAACTAGGGCAACTAATTTTTCAACCCATAGCCCCATGATCACTTTTTGTGTTGACAGCCCTCCATCAGTTGGTTTTTTTCCCTGCTGATGGTGGCTTGCCAGTGCTGTCAGTTGTGCAAATGGACAGTGAACCAAAGCAGCAAATGAACCGATGCTGAAAAATTTCCTTCTCCCCATGCAGGTCCATGCAGCTACATGGACACTGGCCCAGGAGAAAGGGCTGGATGGGATGGGGTGGGGGTAGGAGGGTATCTCTTAGAGAATCGGTACTTCTGTTCCCCTAACTCGACCATGAAAGTGCAGCCTTCAATGGGAAATGACTGCTTGCCACTTCCTTTGAGCTTTCTAGCTGGGTTTTTTTTTTTTTTTTGAGAACTGATTTTGGACATATTTACATTTATAATTGCAGTCATTATAAATGAAACACAATGGATAAATGCAATATAAATGTAATCTACAGAGTTTTTTTTAGAATTGCACTGTAACTAGTTTTAATATTAATTTATTACATTTTCATCGATATAAAAAGAAAGCTATTTTCACATTTCTTTAATTTGCCAACTGTTCCTCAACAATATGTGGATTCCACAGTAATTATTACAGCATTAGATGAAGATGTTAAAAAAATCTGCAAATTGACTATTTTTAATATTCTTTGCATACTACTGTAACATCAGGATTCCAGCCATTAGCACCAATTAATTTGTTCAGAGTTAGATTTTAAAAGCCATATTGATAATGAAATAAAACTTCCCATAAAACCCAGGCAACAGCAACATGTCCAGCAGCAACATTCTGGTATAGAGCCCAAATTTGATGGTTTAACAGGATTGGTTTAGAAATCAATATTCCACCTTACAGAATCTGAACAGCAAAGAATTCAGTGTCTTTTAATAATGTATTTCAGCGGTTTACCACCCACCTATGTTGTTAAAATGAGCATCTTGGTTCTAGTTTGACCTGTGTTACTTTATCTTCCAGTACCAAGACCCATGTCTTTGTCTGGCAGATTAAAAACCCATCTTAGTGTCTTCTGGGATGCACTCCTAACAGCAACCATGTCACTTTTTAGTTTCGTCTTTTAATGACAGACTGAATTTCTTCAAGCTCATTCTACAAGGCAGGTTTTACAGAATCGAACAATTCTTGTTTCACTTCTCCTTTTATAGGTTTTGAAAATCTTTTAAAAATATTTCCATACAAGACTTGGATACGATGTCTGGTAGTGATCTCACCAGTACAAAAGATCTCCCCTCTGCTCACATCTTCATTTTTCTGCTGATACAAAGAAGATTTTTTTTTTTTTTTTTTTTTGCTATGGCAGCATAATGAGAACTTACGTGCAGCTAATTATTTCCCCTAACTCCCACCTCATTTTGGGAGACAGCACCTCCCAGTGCACAGTTTCTTCTACTCTGTGCCTGTGACCTATATTCTTTGTACTCAAAACATGACCTTGTCCCTGGCTGAATGGAATAATTAGTTTGAAAGCAAGCAACTTATCAAGCGATCCAGATCTTTCTGCAGAGCTGGCCTGCCAGCGTTACTCTATCAAGCCACCCATCTTCCTGTCACTGCAAACTTTCTCCTCAGTGGTTTATTTTTTCTTCTTGACAGGCATTAAAGGAATGGAACAGTGCTGAACTAAGGGCGGGAGATCAGGAGTCGTAATGAGAAATGTCCCCACTTGTAAGAGATACCAACATATAAACATATTTTGTTTGGTTAGCTGTTTTTCAATTTATTAATAATTTTAACTAGAAGAAAGTCTTGCTGAAGTCTATATGAATCAACCATCTTTACCAATCAGACTTTTGAACTTCGAAGAAGAACAGTATCAAGTTTACTTGGAAAGAACAGTTCTATGTATAACCACGATAAGTAGCATCAGACAGATTACTGCTTGTTACATTTCATGGATGGAGCTACTTATTGGTTAGTCATTGTTTTTGCCTGAAATGGGCAGGTTAAAGTTTATAAATACCCAGTTATCATGTTTGTTCCCTTTTCTCACTGGCAAAACTAAAAATTATTTTTTTAAAAATAGAACAATAGAAATCTTCGTTCCTAAAATTGATCTTGAAAAGTGAACATCAGTGTTTTGGAGACTATGAACTATTAAAAGCCACTGATTTTAAGTCTACTTCTTTCACAAATTCCATTTTCTCTGGAATCTGCTGTTCTATTAAAGTCTCTACTAAATATGGGAAAAATAATATCAGAGCAGAGTCTACTTAAGGAAATCATCCCTTCTCATGTCACTTTGAGAAAACCAACATCTTGCTCTTTCTGGTTTCTGCGTTTGACAAGAGAAGAACTGCCAAATAGGATTAGGCTACTAGTTAATGCAGTCTAAGCATTTCTGGAAAGGACCAGTGCCTTTTTTAAAAATAAATCTTATCAACAAATTGCAGATACAAATTTTGGGTTGGCTGTAAAGTGTCCTGTTCACTCATGTTCTTGGGGCAAATAAAAAGAAATTGATGTCAGTGATTCAAGAATGACTGTTGGAAGAGACTGGTCATGCCTATGCTGAATCTTCTCAAGTAGGGTGTGTTGCCCCCTGCATCTCCATCCCTGCACCCACCGGGATGCTCTGTGGGCAGGCAGGAGGCAGTGCAGGCCCAGCCTGCCTGAGCATGTCCTGCGGCATGCAGTCCCACCAGGCCAGGTCCTACAAGCTTCAGAAAGCACCACCCACCCCATCTGGGGTTGTGCTGTCTGAGGTTGCTTATAGAAGGCTGAATCTGATATTAAGGGAGCCTCAGGCAGGCCAGATATACCTACAGAGATCAGTATTTGGAAGGAAGCATTCATTGCAACTCCACTGGAAACACCATACCTATGCAGTAATACCACGACGTCACAACTTTCTTCCAACACTCATACTTATCCCAAGCTGTTTTCACATCTGCCTGAGCTTCGTATTACATGTTTTATTGTCTGCATCCTGTGCGTATATACTTTCTGCAGAGTATTTTACTTTGGACTCGCACTTTCCTAAAGCCCTTGAGCACCAGCAATGACCCCATCTTTAGCCTTAACATCCATACTGCCTCTTCTCTCAGAAGACCAAACCAAAGGCTCATTTCAATTGAAGACAGATACTACATTCACTTAACTAGGGAAGGTCTTCATACAGCCTGGTGTTTTACACTGCAGCTATATTGAGAAGGGCAATGTATCCCTGCAAACCCAGGAAATAAAGATTCTTATGACAATTTAAATTAACTTTGATCTCCCTTTTCCTCTGAGATTCAAGTCAGTTTTAGACAAGGGCTCCAGGGCTCTGTATACCAAGTGCTGAGGCCAGTTTATTTCTCAAATGAGATCTGTTACCACAGGCATTTCCAAGCAAGGCCAAGAAGTGGGGCTGCTCTGCCACCGCAAAGCTGCAGGTGCCTAAATTTTCTGGAATTTGGAAACAGCACGATATACAGCTGGATCAGTAAGAAAAGCCTCGCCATCCAGCTCTTGACAGTCAGCACCTCTGGTGGAAGGCAGGTAGATTTGGAGCAGCTTAGGAGTGGAGAGCAGACAAACAGGTCCGCTGTCGCATAACGGAGGCAAAGCCAGAGAGACAGAAATATGTGGTCACTGTGTGGAAACCAAACCGCAACAAAAGCAAGGGGATTTCCAAAGCCAAAGCAACAAAGAGATACATGATCGTAACTCCACAAGAGGGACAAATCCTGAGGTCCTGCCTCAGGTGAGCTTCCAGTGGGAGTCTGCCTATATCTAGATGGAGTAAAACCGCCTACAGATTTGGCCCAGTGTAAGATACCAACGAAGACGCTTGAACCGATTTGCCCGGGGAAGGTAACGCTTGCTGATACCTCCACGGTCTCTCCACTCCAGTCATAATTTGACAATGTTTGTGGCTTGATTGCACGTGTTCAGTGAGGCAGCCCTGCACTTCCTACCCCGAGGCTGCAGGACGCGCGAGCGAGTCTCTGAGATGAGCCCTGGCATCCACCTCTTTCACACATCACACGTTCACCATCTGCGTTCTCATCTTCGGCCATGCTGCCGCCCCTCGCCCAGGTTGCTGGGAGGTTTAGAAAGGCAGATGTTTTCAGTCTCTGTGGGGTCTGGTTGCAGGGGCTTTGGAAGTTACAGTACCTTAGGCCAGTGTTGTCTGGGATTCAATATTGCATTAAGTGGTGACACATTGTGGGCAGGTGGGATCTATTATTGCATTATGGAGGCTGCTGCTTCCCTGAACAGGCTATGTTTTGTGTGTGAAGCGGGCCCACACCTGCTGGAGCTGGGACCTGGAAATGCGGAGGACGGAAGGCATGAGTCTGTGGTTTCCTGCCGTGAGGGGCATGTGCCTGCGGTGGGGCATGCGCACGGGGCTGCTCTCCGCTGAACGGCTGCGCTGTATGAAAGTGCCACCAACGTGAGGGTAGTGTTCTGTCTCCAGGGTTGAGGAGGAGAAAACGGAGGACGCCAGTCTTCTCAGGGGGCTGTACCTCGGGAGGGAGTGCTGAGAAGGCCTGTCCTCCTCCAACTGAAAAAGACCAAGAAGAGTGGAGGAAAAGGTGTCAGGCAAAGACTTGACTCGCCCCTGGTTTGTGATGCGCATGCTGCAGACATCTTCGCCGGCGGATGAAAAATGCTTTTGCTCTACGCGGGGCTTACTTACTGCTCTGTGTCTATAAATTCCCAGGGATCCTACGGGCACTGTGGGGCACCTGCCATTACAGGGGGCCTGCCATGCTCTCCCCAGCCACACGCGGACACGAGCGACACCAGCAGCGTCAGGCTCTGCTACGTCAGTCCCCTCCTCTGGCTCTTCAGGCCACGCGCCTCACCTCTCTGTTCCTCTGGCATCACTCATCTTGACATGTCATTACGCTAGGCATACATCTTGCATATAGGTAACAGTCAAATTCTGAACACAGTTGGAAACCACGTCTACAAGAAAAGGTGAAACACCTGGTGCTAAAATGATTATATGTATGCAAAAGCAGGGGATTCTCAGGGAGTCTTTCAATGAGTCTTTTTAAAACTCGCTCCAGGGATTCGCAAAGGCAACTCTGGGGGCTGTTAGCGGACTTTCCTTTTCTCACACTTACACTGCTGGCCTCCTGATACACTTTTATATTGAGTACCTGCAGGGGGAGTGTTAATGCTTCCAGTTTTGGTAAGAGGAGGACAGGCAGCAGCTGGAAAGGCAGGCAGAGTTTAATTCTCCTTTCAGTGAGAAATTCAAAACACAGAGCCATGGGAGGACAGGAGAAGATGCACTCTTAGGTCCCTTTTCTGTTTCTGTGATCCTGGGATGGCCAGGAGAGGGAGGAAAGTATACTCACAGAGGACAGCTTGTGCCAGAATGAGATCGCAGTCCCTACCTTCCCTTTATGCACTGAATGGAAGAGAGAGGCATTACAGGAATGACTTCAGATTCTTCACCCTGAAAATGCTAAGCCCTTCCTCCCCTTTCTACCTCTGCTATGAAACCAGTGCTTTCACAGGGGTCAGCAACCTCAATTTCCAAAACCAGACCATTTTTTTCTGGAATTACATTTTTCTTTTCAAATCCATTCCCTTCCTTGTGCTGAATTTCTTTTCAGGAAGTCTCTGCAGGTTTCAAAATGTAATTTGGAAATGTGAAAAGGCAATACTGAATTTCTTAATTCAACACTGCTCTCCTTACCTTCCTAGAGATGTTGCCCTTGCAAATGATATGAGAAAAAGAGCTGAACTTCATCCAACCTCATCTCTTTCCTGTCACCTTCAATATCTTTGCAGTGCTTTGAGGCAGGTAACTTATATTCCTAAGCATCTGAGAACTACTCAGCTTGTGGTGGGCATTAAATGTGAAAAGCAATTATTCACAGTCCTAAATGTACGGCATGTCACTGCATAGATCAGACTCTCAAATGATAATAATGTAACGCTGTCGTACAGGGTATTTGAGAGAGACAAAGAAATTCTAGACAGCAGCTCTAATTTCTCATAAAGACAACCATCTCTTCTTTGTGTAGATGGAGTAGAAATTCAGTCCTGGGTGTACTGTTTGTAAGCTGCACAACTAAGTATACTGGAATTATTATTATTACTTTTTGCTCCATGTTTGGGCTCAGCATATTATATGATTTCCAATGTATATATCATCCCAACATGGTAAAGACTTCTCAGATGAAAAAGGATCACTCCAACTACCCAGATGGACCTCCTTTACAGCACAGGATCAAGGACCTTGCCCAGTCATTGAAGGGGCAAATGGTAACACCCCACCAGCAAATGCACTTAAGTATTGCTGCCTCCTGGCTGAAGCTGAGGTTACAGACACACTACTTTCCTTCACTGATGTTCTAATGCTTAAATTACACAGTCAACGCTGGAGGTGCTGCCCTCTTTTATCCCTTTGCCCTTGGCAGCAATCAGGCTGGACCACCTTCCGTCAGGCCTGTTTGGAGAGTAGCAGTATGACACCTCTCACATGAAGTTCCAGAAAAATGTGATGTTGATAGAGCTCAATGTATTCTAAGGAATACAAAATGTAATTAGGAATTTCTACTGAGCTTAAAGTTTTGGTTGTTATGACCTGTATATATATAACAAGCATACACGAGCATTTCTTCTCTTATAGTATCACCCTTTTGTCGATCCTTTATTCCTAACACCTGGAAGGACAGGGATCCTGAATCCAAAGAGCATAAAGGACAGAGGCCAACTCTACATACATCCTTCTCCATCAGCTGGCAAGTTCTTCTCACATGGAGGGAAGCTGGAGGAGTTGAATGTCAAAGAAGCGCATCATCTACAACAGGCACTACACGCGGTTCAACAGGAATTACACTGAGAGAGGGGCAATGAGAGTCTGCCCCTCTTCTGCAAATGCCCGTTTCTCACCACTGAGAAATGGTCTCTCACGTCCCCTCAGAGCAGCCCACAGACAGTGCTGTAGAAGGGAAAGGAAACCAAGACACACAGCACCTTTTCATATCTCATTTTCCCTGCCACCTTGTTCCCACAGCCTACCTCTTCTGCCCAGGGTTACAGACCTGACAGCCTGCTGTGTTTTGCTTCTACCCGTTGCTCGATTATTTCAGCCCAGCTTTTCTTCTTTCTGCCTCGGAGCCAGTGAAGTTGTAGTTTCCATCCTCTCTTCCTGCTGTCTGTAGGCACTCTGGGAGTGCCAAGGGTTTCCCTCATCACTGTGCCAGGGTCTAGGGCCACAGAGGCCACCAGGCCCAAAATATAATCCAAAGGAAGCCCTGCTCAGCTGCGTTCTCAGTGAAAATCAGAGTTCCTCCAGATAACAGATCTGGGACAACTTAGGTCTCTACACCACATGAACCAAAGAGGCACTACAGATCACCCAAACCGCTAGAACCCTGTCCTTGCTGTGAGGCAGCCTTCTCCTGTGTCTCCATGTCCCTTCCCGAGGATAATCATCACAAACTCAAATCAATGGAGGAAGAGAACAGCATAGTGGGGTCGCTGAAGTAGTCATCCCCTGACCAGCTGCGCTGGTTCCAAGGGTATCAGGCAACATCACAACTATAGCATCCCTCAGATGAGGCAATGAAGTAGTTCAGGAGCATGGGGGCCCCTGTGGGCTCAGCACCAGAACAGAGAAGTTTTTCTTGGCTCAGTGAGGGTCCCAGAACAGGGTTTCTTTACAAAAAAACCCCAGTGATTATAGATAAAGTTGAACTCACAGGTGAAGCTGGCCCAGGCAGCCTGGGCAATGTGCTTCTGACTGCTTCCTGTCTTACCTACGGTATTACCAACACAGGTCTACACGCTGAGCATCCTTGTGTGATGTCCCAGCAAAGATGCCAATGGTGGGGTATGACTGGGAAGGGCTCATAAGCTTCACAGCTGCTGCCCTCTCAGGGTCATGGACAACTTTAAATAAGTCCATCTGTGGCATTCTCCTGGCTGTGGGAGAAAAGAGGTGCTTAATAGCACCAAGGGAGGGTTATTTTTAAGAGTGATTCTAACTACACAGCTAAGTTGGTGAGGAAATACACCAGAGCCTCTTCACATGGGGACCTTTTCTAAAAGATGAACTCTTGGCTCTGGGAGACGGGACTGTAAGACATAGTGTAAGCAAAAGGCTCCCTGAACACTGTAGAATATATCCAAGAATAGGTAAGGAAGAGTTAATATGAACTCCCACTATTGCTTCACTTTTCTTGTGTTTTTTAGATGCGATATCATTTGGATAAGCTTGTTTTAGGCAGGCAAGTATCAAAACATTTTATACAATGCCAATTGCCCTAGCAGCAAGGGAGATTCAGAGTCAAGAAATACCTATCTGCACAGACCTAAAGTCAGAAGTAATTGCTAAAACTCATAAATGTATGAACATTTGTATTTCTTTCCAACACAGAAGGCGGCTGTATGTTGCCATCTCTGTCAAGTGTCAGTGAATTTATTCAGCATATTTAAGAATTTGACAGATTTTTAAATTATATTGCTAGGTGAGGATATAAATGATTTCCAACAATAACAGTAATCCTATGCCAGGATTAATACGTAAACAGAAATGCAGGTTCAATCTTTTTTTCCAATCATTTTTAGCTATTTCTATAGCTTTATCTGCCCATTAGTGCATAAACATAAGCAGAGATTTATTAGTACTTTATTGAAATGCATGCATTAAAGTAAACCCTAAGAGCTCCATTAAAACAGCTTGCTGGGTGCTCATTGCTGCACTCAGCGGTGCAGACAGAAGGGCTTGAACAGGACATAGCACGACAGACCTGTTGTCCCTCTGTACCAGGGCTTCCCATGAGGTCTATGCTCTACTGCAGCTGTCTTCTTGTCAGCTGAAACTGGAAGATATCTAATATGTGAATATTTGGGTCAGAAATTCCCCCAGGCTATTCAGAGCCTCCTCTGTACTTGACTTTTCCTACAGCAGCTTCTGCTCATGCTGTTCTCTCTCTTACACCCACACAGTTTCACGAGGACACAACCATCCCTCACACTTGCACTACAACATCTTTCTTCCAAGAGACTCATACATTTGAACAAACATCTGAGTTCTAAATGAGGATAACTTGAGGAACTACAGACTGGTCAGCCTGGAAAGGGCATGGATCACATCCTCCTGGAAGCCATTTCCAAACATATGAAAGAGAAGAAGGTGACTGAGAGCAGTCAGCATGGATATATGAAGGGGAAGTCACGCCTGATGAACTTGAGAGCTTTCTGTGACGAGATGACTGGATGGGAGGTTGTTTACCTCAGCTTTAGTAAGGTTTTTGACACTGTCTCCCATCACACCCTCATAGACAAAATGATGAAATACGGACTAAGTAAGTAGACAGCGAGTTGGACTGAAAACTGGCTGAGCTGCTGGGCTCAAGCGTTGTGCTTAGGGAAACAAAGTCCATCTGGAGGCCAGTCACTAGTGGTGTAGCCAGGGGTTGATACTGGGGCCACTACTGTTTAACAACTTCACAAATGACCTGGATAATGGGATAGAGCGTACCCTCAGCAGGTTCACGGATGATACAAAACTGGGAGGAGTGGCTGACACACCAGAAGGTTGTGCTGATATTCAGAGGTGCCTGGATAGGCTGGTGAAATGGGCAAAAGGGAATTTAATGAAGTTCAACCAAGGGAAGTGCAAAGTCCTGCACCTGGGGAGGAACAGTATATGCTGGGGGCCAACTGTCTGGAAAGTGGTTTGACAGAGAAGTACCTGGAGGTCCTGGTGGAGACTAAGCTGAACACAAGCCAGCAAAGCACTTTTGTGGCAAAAAGGGCCAACAGCCTCGTGGGCTGCATTAGGAGGAGTGTTGCCAGCAGGTTGAGGGAGGTGGTCCTTCCCCTCTGCTCAGCACTGGCAAGGCCACACTTGGAATGCTGTGTTCCAGTTCTGGGCTGCCCAGTACAAGAGAGACATGGACATACTGGAGATAGTTCAGTGAAGGGTCACAAAGATGATGAAGGCACTAGGGCATCTCTCATTTGAGGAAAAGCTCAGAGAGCTGGGACTGTTTAGTCTGGAGAAGAGAGGCTCAGGGGGGATCTTATCAACATTTAGAAATACCTGATGGGAAAAAGAAGATGGATACAGACTCTTCTCAGTGGTGCCCAGTAAAAGGACAAGAAGAAATGGGCAGAAATTGAAATATAGGAAATTCCATTTAAACACAAGTAAAAGTTTTTTTACCGTAAGGGTAATTGAACACTGGAACAGATTGCCCAGAGAGGTTTTGGAGTCTCCATCCTCAAAGATATTCTGATTGGATGCTGTCCTGAGCAACCTGCTCTAGTTAATCCATCTTGGAGCAGAGGGTGGGACGAGATGATCTCCAGAGGTCCCTTCCAACCTCAGCCATGCTGTGATTCTATAATAATCCAGAAGTTACTGCCTTTTTGCCAGTAACAAGTAATGGCTTATATATTGGAGCCAGAGAATGGAGGAACAGAAGAAAGCATTAGAGCAGGGGTTACCCATTTGCTCTTAGTTAGTACTCTACAGACACCAATGGATGATCATCAGTTTTTGGGAGAACAGAATAAGGTCCCAAACAAGGCTTATGACCTTCGTGTCATGGTAGTTCTGCATTTAGTGACATTTTTACCTATCTTAAAGACTCGGTTCATATTCAAAGATAAGGAAGATATAGTCACACACACACTATCTAATCACAGTTTCAATCAAACCCAGAGGAAGCCAAAGCCTGAGCTACAGGAAACATCTGTAATAGCTAGTGAGGCCTTCAGTATTTTCATTACTTAAGTCCTTGGTCGACTTCTTATTAGCATCCCAACCAACTGTCCTTCCATCTCTGCTGTACCTGAATGGCTTCTGCTTTCCTTTAGGCACCACGTCATTTTTCCTTTGAGAGTTAGCAGTTGGTTTTGTGAAAGCAAATGGAAAAATATGAATGTCACTGCAAAGCTGTGTATACAGAGGCAATTGAAGGATCCAGACATGAAAGGAAGCACAACTAAATACCGTCCAGCCAAAGAAGTCCAGTCTGTATGTACAAAGCTAGACCCAGAAGCAACTAGAGGGTATTTCAGAACACAGGAGCAAAAAAATGTGCAGTATGCTGGAGAAGCAAGGCTGTTTAATACATTAGCAGTGATGACCCACAATCCCATTAATTTACCTCTTTTGCCTGTGTTTTAAGTATCACTGTGCAGTGATAAGCAGCCTTCATACTGCCTCATACCCAACTCCACCAGTAATTTCACATAGGAGTATTACGTGTTATGGCCAAGAAGGCATCTGTGGCCTCTTTAGCTACGCTACATGTCAGTGAAGTGTCCCTGCTGGTTCTTACAGCAGGTTCTTACCAGCTGGCTCTTGCCATGTTCAATGCATCTTGCACATCTTGAACTGACCAGCCTAATAAGTGTACAGACAGAGCAAATTCAGACACAGACCCTTCCAACTCCGCTGATCTTGCCTATACAATCTCTAGATATCTGAGGCACTTAACATATTGGCTTTACACAGCAAACAACTCCACCTTGCAATTGGATGCAGTCTCCATGAGAAGCGTGTACTGCTACTATTCCATGGACAGTTCCCCTAGTGCCTGCTGTCAATATTTCTACCCTTCCTGTAAATGCTGCAGCCTCATACACCTTAGCAAGGAACACCTTGCCTGGCAGACAAGGATTTGGTTTGATTATTTTAATATAGTTTCTTGTATCATTCATGTTTTGCTGCCAAAACCAAGTTCTTTTTTTCTTGTACCTCTCCAGGACCCAGAGAAGAGAAGAATGTGGGCAAGGCCTGAATGGAAGGATGTTCTTTTAACATGCTCCAGTCTATTGAACACTCCCTTACAGCATAAGATCAAGAGGGAACAGGAGATGGAGTTAGCATCTTCCAGAAGGCAACAAGCAGACTGCACAAATGCCTGCTGTAGGAGGGTACCACTGTGTACATGACCTAAGACTCGCCTGTTCTTTGCTGTACTTATGGATCCCACGCGCATGAGAGATCTTCATTAACATACAAATACAAAAAGCCCTCAGGAGAACAATTTTATTGTTTCTTGCAGTGAACATCCTGGGACAGCCTTCTTCTGAATGTCTGAAGATTAGATATGACAGAGGAACTCTGAGCCTAACAGTATATCATGTTTTCCCAGGTAATCTAATAAATGCCTCCCACTAAAACCTGAACTTTTCTATACCTTCAGAGGACCACAGAAAAAAGCAAAACTGAAAGAAAAAAGCACTCTACTATCTGGAAAAAACACAGTAGGTAAAGAACATTTCTGTGAGTAAATACCTGGTAACAATGATACCAGTCACTGAAGTAAGGTCGACGGGACGTATGTGCTGGTTACTCTGAGCTTTTTATTAGGTATGTAGAAGAAAGTTTAATTTCAGGGAATTATTTTATGATTTGCATTGCTGCAGGCCTGCCCAGTGCTGATGTGCGATTAGATTAGAGGGCATTCTCTTGCCATACACTGCTGTTGCTGCTGCAAAACTATGTAGAGAAGATTTGCTAGCAACACCCCCATACAACTAAGCGGTTATTAACAAAACACCATGGGAAAGCAATAAGACAACTGGTTAAAGATACACACAACCACAATTGTGCTCTCCTCTTGTCCCTGTGCCAAAATGGCAGAAAGATCTTGATAACAGTGTGTCCTTAGTAGGGGACAAAAATTACTAGCTATAGGGAGCACTTCTAAGGTGTTCACAACATTTGCAAGCAGTGTCAGAAAGAGTTTCACAAGAGCATCCATGCTTGGAATCTCAGACTTCTCCAGCACAGCTGAGGTTTCCTAAGACGATGACTTTGCTATGCTAGGCAACAAGATACAGACCCGGGGATCTTACCTGTCTCTGAGGACCAGTAGGTTCAGATTCTCGTCTCCTTTGTCGGATAGCTGGTGCTGAATGTAGGGGGGAGTGGGCTGGACTTCCTGTCTGCTGTTCGTGTTTACTGTCAGATACTGTTTGAGAAGGTCCTTCATGTCTGTGGGAACTGTCCTCCTCAGTCACAGGCTGCATACCTCGACTTCGGCCATCGTGCGTCTTCGGCCTGACTGCAGCATCTGCCCCCAAGCGCCTTCTCTCCTCACCTTCTTCAATAGGTCTTAGTTCCTCAGGCTCCTCATCTGTGGTTCCAGAGGTGCTTGGCTCAGCACCTGGGTGAAAGTCCTTCAGCTCTGTCTCCTTATCAATGATAACCCACTCCTTGCTATCAAAGTCCTCCTCCTCTGCGAGTGGCACTGAGCGGAAAGCATTGCTGAGGGCTTCATGTTCCACCGAAGCAGACACATCCATCCTACCACTTGCCTGCCGGTCAGCCTGGCCAGTATCAATGGACAGCATCTGGGCTGGCTGGGAGGAGCATACAAGCCGTGATGGAGAGCCAGGTAAATCCATTCGAGATCTAAAGACAGAACGTGAAGCCATTATAAATACATCAGGTTTGTAGTTAAAGTTAGGGAATCATAAGAGTTGAGAGGAAACCTGTAAAGTCCTTCTCACTCATTTCTTGGTACACTTCAGAAAGACAGGCTTAAGCAAAAATATTTCTCTAGAACCTACAATGGCATAAAGATGTTCCCCCTGAAGTGCTTCAGTACGATCACCAATTCAGCATCTCTCTTCCTTGTAGATGACAGGATGATAACCAGCTTCCCCCAACAACCCTAATATACCCTTTCCCCTTTGGTAAATTCTACTGGTTTGTGGAAAAAAAAAACCAAAACCAAAACAAAACCAACCCAAAACACCCCTAAATCCCAAGTGTACTGTCTAACTTAACAGTGTCCCTGCTGGGCTCCTATAACCTCTTCAGCTGCACTGTGCTATCTCTGTGGTGGCCACTGAAGCCTCTAAGGCAGACACGAGTTTTTCGAAGACATCAAGAATCTCTGAACCCACTGTGCATAGATGACCCCAAAATACTTTTGGGGAGCAGGAAGGAAACATGGTAAGTATCCTTTTACAAGGGGTAGCATAATGTTCAGTGGCTCACAGTCTAAATAGCAGCAGCTTCTGCAGCCATGCAGAAGTACCTTTCAAAGAGGCCCTGGAAGCTCCCTGTGCCCCAACGGCCCTGGCAGCATCTCAGCCGGAAAAGCCAGTGGCACTTCTGTCTTTCTGCTCCCCAGTGTTATGATCCATGCTTCTCACTCAGCCTGCACCTGCTGCTTGCTTTGCTTCCCTGTCTATCAGAGAGGCTAGCAGCTTGCTGCACAAAGCAAGAGTGTCTGCTGCCCAGAAAAAGACAGCTGCAGTGTGTTTTACAAAAGGATTACAACAGGGACCATACAGGAGCCTTGCAGACTCTTCTGGGACAAGCCTTCCACGTGTGAGAAAGCATGAGGGGAAACAGAAGTGACTGACTATTGGGTGAGGGTTGCTGAGCAAAACTAGGTATCCTTAACACAGTGGAAGGTCAGAGCTCAGACGGAAAGAATTACAAGCAAAAATGAAAAAACTTTGATGAACAAAGGGGAATTAGAGGAGGAGGTGAATCAAAGGTTGATGTAGAGAAAGTTGTGAGCGAAAACAAAGATCTAAGCAAAAGCCATCTGATGGATCTGAAAAAAGCAAAGCTGTACTTCTTAAAGTCTTAAAAATATATTATTGTGGATAGGGAACACTAAGTATGCAAAAGAAGAATGAAAAATGGCCTATACTGTGTGTGTGAAGAAGAACAAGATTTTAAAGAGCTGTTGCTAAAAAAATAAAAGAAACTCTGGATTTAACCAATGTCTTCATCCAATCCCCTGCAGAGGAGAGACTCCTGGAGTAGAAGAATTTACTCTAGAAAGCCAGAAGAATTTCCCAGTGCTGGGAGTCAGGTCTGTGTTGGGAAAAGATGAAAACAGAATAAAGAGAAGACTGAGTGGCAGAGAGGGATTGTATTTGCACCATACTTGCTGCAGGCTACTTTGAAGATGAAAAAAGACCTTGATTTTAAAAACAGGAGCTGAGGGAAGAAGGCAGGAGAAAGGGATGTGTTTTGGATAATACATATTTTCTATATTAAGTCAGCATGATGCTGAGTAGACAAGGAACAGTGGGAGAAATAAAGGAAGGAGTTAAAAGCATTCAGTGAACATACAGAACTAGTGTTGCTGACTATTATAAATGGTCCATTCCTAATTTAAAGAACCTTTCTTCTGAGCAAGAAAAAGAAGAGGTAGCAAGACCCAAGGTATGTTACTCAAACCCTAAATTATTCATGGCACCACAATCTCTCCTGATTTACAGAGAAGCATTACAGCTTCCCTCAGCCACCCAGAATGACACAGTACCTAACAAACTTGGGGCAGTGCTGGGGGCTCATCCTCTAGTTCTGTTTGATCCTCCTTCATTTCCAGCTACCGTCTCCTTGTGACTGTTCTCTTGGCTGAAGTCTGTCAGATTTTCTCTGAGAAGGCCTGTCTCTCCCCTGCCTCTTTTAGAGCGGCTATTTCATCAGTACATCCTGCAAACACAGTCCATGCCCTGACTTTCAATGGGAAGAGGAAGGCAGAGTAACAAAGGATGTGAAATGGGTTACCAGCACCAAGGGCTTATGTCTTGTAACACATGTTCTCCAGCACACAATACTTTAAAAAACTTCTTTTCATTATTTGTATTATTCTTGCTTTTTTGTTTCTTCTCTGTGGATCTGAGAGAAGGTATTCCTACTACCTTCAAAATCAGGGTGCAACATGTACTTTTCACATGCATTCTATATGCTGAAAAATGAATACTATTATTCCTATTAATGAAAAATAATGAAATAATGAAAGATCAGGACTTGCCAGCTAGCTCCCAGAATACATGCATCCCTGTATGTATCCTAACAAGATCCACTCTTCCCTCCTACCTCAGGCCAGCCAAAAGATTTGTGGCTGTTCACATTATCTCTGATCTGATGCTTTGCCTTCCCTCTGAAAAACGTCCTTCCTTCCATCTGCGGAGTTCTTCCCATCCAGGGACAGGATGAAAATCATTCCCACTAACTCAGCTTTTTAACAGACATGAGTGTCTCATCAGAAAGATTATAAAGCCCATGAACACCTCCACCCAGAAATGAACTTCCAGTGCCTGCTGATCTAATGATCATGTTGGTCTCAACAATCAATCTTCAAGACACTCCTAAAAGCAGTAGGAGGCTACAAGGGTGAGCAAACCTTCTTTCATGTAGATCTGCTTTGCCATCAGCAGTGGAGAGGCGTTCTGACTCAGGGCTGTTCACACGGCGGTATCTTAGGGAGCGCACTTGTGCGGTAGGGGACTCCGGAGGCACTCGGACAGGGGAACTGGGGCAGACGCCATTTCTCTGCTCCTCTTCCACCATGCACTGAGTCTGTAGGGGGTAAACACAGAGAACCTCAAAATCTGATCAAAGAAAGACATTGATTTCCCATGCTTCACTGTTGCTCTGTGCTTTCTTCCAGGGTACAGTTTCAACTGCATTTTCACAATCTACACAAGCGATGTTTGAAAGAATGGAAGGGCCCATATGCCCCGGCAGTTATCTAGTATTAAAACAAGGTATGGATTTTAAATCAATGCAAATATTTAAATGTCTTTACAAGGTGGCCTTTGCATTTCAATAGTTGATCCAAAGGAGTTATCATGGGCTAACCTACCGCATACACAAACCCTAACTGCTTATGCAAGATGTCTAAGAGACTTTGTTTGTCAATACTCATCTATGCAGCATCAATGCATTATATTGCAATGTACATACTTTTATTTCTCATGAACTTGATATGACTAAGCCATCCCAGGGTGGCTTTTGGCTTTTTTTGGTTTGGTTTGTTTTTTGGATTATTTTTAAAAAAAAAAAAAAAAAAAAATCTTGGTCCTGTAAACGAAGTCCTCCAGGACATATACTCAACCACAACATCTCTAAGAGCTTTCCACAGACCCAAGGTCATGCAGGGACGCGAGCATGCTCATGGATACTTGTGAGCATTGACTGTGCATATTCTACCAGTACATATTTTATGTTTTAAAATGGCCCTAGTGAATTTGGTTTTGGGGTTTTTTTTTTTGTTTGTTTGGTTGTTTTTTTTTAATTTAGCAGCAGACAAACAAGCAAAAGTAGGTGACTGTAATACAGCTGCCTTCTGCCTTCCACTGTTCTGCTTCCCCTTGGAAAAGACAACCTGCTTAGGCAAAAGCATAGAGGCAAAATGGTCCAAGGGATACAGCAGCAGTCTAGGATTTGCATTCAACCATATTGTGCTGCTAGCCATGCAACATCAGCTGCTACGCACTGCTTCTGTACGGGGATGTGCATTGAGATGCCAGTGCAAGTTGCTAGTATGGAGAGTGTTTACCCTTCTCTGCAGCATGCCCTACATTCACTTCTCCTCTATTAATGCTAAAGGCTCTGAATGTAAGCACACTGCTCAGTAAAATGCTGCTGATCAAGACAGTTGCCTTTGTGTGTACTGTGTGTACGGCAACTCAGTCAGTGTCCATAAATTAGCAGATCTAAACCATCCAGACTGGGTTTGGAATGCATAATTGAGGAGCCTTTGCAGCTAGGGAGAGTGGAGGAAAACTTGCAGGCATTACAGGAAATGCAGAATAGATGATAATGATTTAATCTGTAATCCATTCAGGCCAGAAGGTTAGTGACAAAGGAAGGTCAAATGTGTTTGTGAAAGGAGCAAAGTGCTGATGTAACCGTAGGGTAACAGGCAGCTTGGTAAGATCCAAGAGCAGAGAATTTGGGGGAAGGTGTGAGAGAGAAGGAAGAGGCTTCTCAAAAACACACAGAATGAGAACTCTGATCCAGTGGAGGAAGGAGAACCAGAAGGAGGATTTACAAAGGTCAGTGACAGTAAGCAAGGAAACTGTTCTTAGCACAGAAATGGGAGAAGTGGGACAGAAGGAGATGTGAACTGCGAACAGCAAAATAAGGATGACCTTAGGGAGGCACTGGGGAGAAAAAACATGGTAAGATCTACTCATCACTCAAGTACAAAGAGCAAGACAGGGAAAGCCAGAGTTACTTCCAGTGCTGCAAGACTGGAAGATGAAGGATGGTGAAGCTCTGAATAGCAGAAGGGTGTTTTACACACCAGCTGCCCTTGCAGTTCTGGAAGACACAAGGGAAGTCTGAGATTGCATGTAGAGGTGAAGCTGTGCCCTTACATATCAAATCTGCAGCCCCCTTTTTTCCTCCGTGTGGTGACTATGACTTAAATAAAAAATGATTTTCTCTCAGAGAACAGTCAGACTGCAGATAATAAGCCTAGCAGAGCGAAAGGACAGGCAAGAGTCAGACTAAGGATAACAACCCTCACAGAAAGAAAGGACAGACTTCTTTAGCTTTGGAGAGCATGATGCCCTGGGCTCCATTTCATAGACTGCTGCATAGCTACAGAGCTTGTCAGAACTAAGTGCTCATTGCCACGCTGACTAACTCTCTAAGCTTCTTTGCCAGTAAACTGAGAAGAAATAGCATATCCCTTGGCAGGAGAGTCACCTGGTCATGCTGCGGATCTTGTAGAAACCTCTCCTGCCTCTCTAGCTGCTGTTATGACAGGGCTTGTGAATGACAGCACTGGTTACCTAAGATATGACATACAACTAACACGCAGAAAGGAGATTTAGGACTCCCTTGTGCACATCTCAGTCTGACTGTAGAGCATCAAGGCACCTGGTGGTTCAAAGGAACAGAAAAACACATAGTAGTTACCAGGATTTTTCTGTAATACTCTTTTTTTTTTTGTATGTTGTGGTAACAGAACTGTCCCACTCTACCAGGCTTTTCTTATTTCATATGCCTTCAAGTAAGAACTTCTGGGAATGCACACAGTTTACCAGTGAGAGATGAAGAACTTAATTTATAATTCTCGGTACTGGGGAATGCCACTGGTAATGTTCCATACAAATACCATGTTGATCCAAATTATTTGCACTGAAGAATTTTATGCAAGTTAGATGAGATTATTTCTTGTCCATGAATAATGCTTTCTAATAAGTCTAAGGATAGTGGAGATATCTGAAGAGCTGAAAGAAGGACTAACTCCATGCCAGTAGAGACTGAAGTGAATTCTGATCAGACCCAGAAGACTGGTAGATTTAACATGCTAGTCCACAAGTGTCCATTAAAGACAGGCTTGTGAAGTGAATCTGATATGCCGTGATAATATTTTAAGTCTGTTTTATGAAGGTTTCTCTGCTAACAGATTCGATATGTCACGCCATGTGACATTCTGATTTTTAAGTAAGAATTGAAATCAACATAGCAAATACTGACTTACTTAGAACACGTAAGTTGATCTAATAAATAAACTAACTGGTAAATTCTCATACTTAACATTTACTATGGAATCATCATTCAGTGGGGACGCCTCCAAGAAATTAGGTAACATTTACAAGAAAGGACTGAGAAACAGCTTAGGGATTATGAGGAAAACCAATTGAAGTATACATTTGATACAAGCTAAAAAGTCTAATATGATCTTGGAATGCAGAAATAAGAGAATATTAAGTGATAGTTTCTCTCACTATTCAGAGGGGTGAAACCATCATTAGATGCTCTTTATAGATTGTGCTGTTAGAAAGTTAAGAAATGGGAAGAGAAAAATTAGTGATGATTCAAGATGTAAAAAAATATGGCTTATGAAGAAATCTCTGAAGAAATTCAGTTACTCAAGAGGTTAGGACACAATAAAATTTTGGTTTATAGTTTCCAAACCTGGGATATTTCTGATATTGTATCAGCTATGCAAGGACTAGAATTCCATTGCTTGAAGTATCAAGATCCTAGATAATGACAGAACGATTGTACGAAAGAGTCACTCTAGCATAATTTGCCCCAAAAATGTCACTTGTATAAACATCCAAATTAATCCCAATGGCTTCTACTCTGTGACAAAATTGTTTGTAATTTCCCATTTCCACAGGGAAATTCCACAGTGCTTTTTGGACTGCACTATGCACTATGATGCTACATCAGTGGATCTGGGTGGCTTCTAGCAATCTATGAATCCATTGCTCTAAATCCAACAGGCATAGGTGTAAATAAGTGTTCTTTACTTTGCTGATGCTGATCCTGAGTTTGTTGCGATTCACATCTGTCTCTTCCCAAACTTCAGCCTCATTGAAAGCTGTGTTTGGAGCCTGGCCAAGACCTTCCGCTGGCCGACCTGACAGGATGGGAGGAGCATTCTCTTGGTCACTCAGATGTTCACCCTGTAGGACATCCTCAGTGTTCTCACGAAGCAAGTCCCCAGGTACCGGAGTGACATTAACCACCCTATAGAAGAGACAAGAAGAAAGGTAAAATTATTAGTACTTAAAGAAGGAGGCCTATCACACTGCCCCACAGAAATTCCTCAGCAGCTTTTAGGGTATTACCAGGTTGAAAAAACAAGCAATCTAGCATTATCCCAGATAGGACGACCTGAAACGGAACAGGAGGATTCCACCTAACATATAGTCACAAAGACAGGTGTGACGGATCAGTGAAAGCATCTTGGGACCCTTGATATGCAGGCTGCAAACTTTGTTAGAAGTGCCCGTTACACAATATTTAGCTTAGAAGAAACTTCCCCTCTTTGCATGAGCAAACGAGGCTTAATAGGCCTTATAGCTTTTATCTTCTATAATTATAGAATCACAGAATGGGTTAGGTTGGAAGGGACCTTGAAGATCACCTAGTTCCACCCCCTGCCATGGCAGGGGCATCTCCCACTAGACCAGGTTGCTCAAATCCCCATCCAACCTGACCTTGAACACCTCCAGGGATGGGGCATCCGCAGCTTCTCTGGGCAGCCTGTTCCAGTGCCTCACCACCCCCACAGTGAAATAATATTACACTTTTATCTTCTATAATATTACTAAGGATTATTTTTATCCCTTAATGTCAGCCCCCTCAAAAGCACCAAGACAGACCACTGAACTAAGCCTTATCAACTTTTGTCTGGACTCATTTCCATCTCTGAGTACCAAGCTCTGTATTGTTGCACCAGTGCATGAAACACCCTGTAAAGGTTGAGGAGCTGCGCTCGAGGCGTGACCAGTGCATGCACTCTGCTGTGTTCAGCTCACTATCAATCACAAACCCACCCCACAGCAAGGCAACAACTGCCTCACAGCAGGTGCTCTCACAGAAGCTCCAGCCATGTGTGCTATATAATATGCCAAATATACAAGCATATGGGCTCCATCAATCCTGGCCAAAAGTCTGCAGACATCCCTTAATGTGACTCCAACCCACACACTCAGCCCCAGTAGAAAATGTGTTTTCATCACAACAAGGGTCTGAAACTGGGTTCCACCACCTTAGATATGTGTTTATATATAAAGCCAAATCAAGTGGTGGCTGCCATGCAGCTCCAACTTCCCAGGTTCATAACAGCTTTGAAATCTTTCAAAAATGAACTCGTAACTGAGCTTGTTATTGAGGACGTCCATAGTCTGACTGGCGCAACTGCAATACTCACCCAAACATGGCTGCTGTTTGCCTAGTGTTTTGCTGTGGTGGAGTAGAGGTGCTAGTGGACAACAAGATATCTGTACCAGCCTTCTCCCAGTCAAAGGCTTCATTTTCAGTGATGCCTCTTTCTTTCATGCTGTTCTCGAAAACGGACATGATTAGCTGGAATAAATTTACAAAACCAAGTTATGTTAAGTAACCGCAGGTGGCTCTCAAAAAATCTGAAGTATGAGCACGAGGACCAAGTGCAGCTTATAATCTCCATCTTGCTTACAAAAGGTACCAAGAAATGAAAGCAAATGTCATAAAATTGTATCAGTTGTTTCTCAGGCTGGTTTTGGCTTGGTAATGGAAATGTCTTTAAATCTACAGAAGAAGCGCATGCAACATTTCGACACTGATTTGATGAAATCTTGCAGTTGGCTTGTTACTCGAAAACAAAAGCCTTAACTTCAGCTAAGCTTTCCTGTAGATTAGACATATGCAGAATAGTACATTTAATATGTCGAGTTCAAGGGCTGCCAGAAGACATAAACACAACAGGAAAACACAGTCCGAGGATGCAGATTCGTTGCAGTATCTGGCTCAAACACAGCTTGGTCAGGAGCCCTACATACACTTATGCACAACGTGGCCTGCCACATTTGGCTGCAGAAGAAAATAAAACCATAAAAGGGATGATAAAATTTTCTTTATAAGATGGCAGGTACAAATGCTCATGCTGACATGGTTTATGCTGGTTGCTTTCTAAGAACTGACATTCTTTAGGAGAGAATGAAACTATCGGCAACAGCGCTCCGTGCCTGAATGCATTATCCAGGGAAATCTGATGTTCTGCTGTCAAAGGGAAACTGGATGCTATAGGCCAACGCAGGCGTATGTGAGGTTCTGCATTTCTAAGAAATTTATTCAGCTAAATAATGCAGAACTGAGAGGAATGAGCCTAAAGTCTATACGAAGAGAGAATATGATGACAAATACATTTGGCTTATGGCACAGAATTAGCGCTAAGTTATGAATAAGAATTACCAGGAACAACCCCCCTATTTGCATTTATATTCTGGTTCTGTTTATCAGCATGATCAGAAGGCCAGGAGAGCCTGCCATTGCCTACCACCTTCCACCAAACTACAGTAAAACACCTATTTGCAGCTTTCAGTTGAGACATCTTTTTCCTCTTTTTTGTGACCTAGAATGCTAGAATTAGGTGGTCCACTCCTGCAGCGGCACTATGCTTGATTAAAAAAATTGATTGTTGATTAGGCCAAGTAACAGGTAACGCCTCTCCAGAGAGTGGACGTGACAAGGCAGTGGTAGCAGCTTCTTTGATTTGAGAGGGATTTTACTGTCGTGACAGTTTAATATGATAGGATTGTGTTTCTGCTTGTTAGCCTCATGTGACGATGCCCCCTTTCACCTTTGATGGAAACGGGAGTTGTGCTGCTGCTGTTGGCAGGGAATTTCTTGTTCAAAACTGAATTGTGAGTAACTAAAAGGTCACAGTCTTGCTTTCAGCAAATGCATTTCTGGTATCTAGTAACCTTAGATGGATGTTTTCTCGTGAATTTACCTAATTACTTATTGAATACACAAGCTTTTGGACTACACCAATCTTATGGCAAAGAATGCATCAATTATGTGAACTATCTTCTTTGCTCATTCAAACCTGGCACCTGCTAATTTCATTTTGTAGTTCCTCATTTTCATATCCGAAGAAGCAGAAAACAATCATTCTCCACTCACTCCTTGCCATTCTGCCTTTCATTTTAAAGATTTCATGTACATGTCAGTTCTCTCTTTTTTTCCAAAGTGTACTGTCCTAGTCTAATTAGTCTTCCCATATCTGGAAGTAAATCTATCTCTTTCCTCCTTGCTACCCTTCCTTACTTCTCTGATTTCAAGATACCCTTTTTGAGATGTGGGAATGGAACTACACACCATATTGAAGAGTATGCTTCACAGATTTACGTGGTAGTCTAAAAGTAGTATTAGAAGGTAAACAGAAAATATCCTAATTATTCTTAGGATATTTGCTTTCTGACTGCTACTTTGGCAAAGATTACTGTCAAATGTCTTTTAGAAATTAATACCCTACATCCTCAAAGACTCCTTCCAAGAACTCCATGCATTTGTAGACAGATGCCCTTACAAAAGCCATACTGACTGCTGCTTATCAGATCATCCTCACCCATCTGTCCACTAATCCCAGTCTTTATCACGGTTTCTGATTCTTTGTGATGTACATGTCAGTGTCAGGGACTGGTATCTTCTGAAGCCATTTACAAATTGGTACTGCTTCTGTCACCTTCCATTCCTTTGATACCTACCAAAGCAGTCTGAAGTAAGAAACCACATGCTAAAATTAGAAGTTCAGCTGCCTTATTCTTAGCATTCCTTCCTGCTGTCAAGGACCCACTCAGTCAAACCAACTTTTGTTACTTTCTGCTATAACTTTTCTTCTGTAATGCTTGCATTTGACTTTGCAGGCCATTTGGGATTTTACAGACCTCTATTGTATTCCCTGTAGGGTCTTTTTTCACAGGCTGAAGGATACTAGTGTCTTCAGCTGCCATTATCAAGCTCTACCACGGTCTTATTGAGCCTTGTCAGCTTTCTCTGAACCCTTTGTACTTCTGATGAAAAGTCAAAGCTTTACAAGGAGGAAAGTGGAATGGGAAACTGCACAGAACAGTCGCAACAACCACCACCGCTCCCAGAAGTCATGCAAAGAGTCACTGGATCCTGTCTAGGGATCTTCTGCCTGCAGACACATATTACTAGGGACCAGAAAAGTTTCCACAGTCACTGCAGACTTCCCATATTGAGTTGCCTTCTGCTGGGCCCAAGAACAGCTAACTTGGCAGAGCCAGGAGGAAGATGACAGGAGATCCCTCAGTTACATAGGATGTCAGATAAGGAGCACAGCAAAGTAGCACCTTGGCTGGTGGTGCTACAGATGCAGAGGACTGGAACTCAGAAGATCTTTAAGTTTTAAGGGAACTCAGGCAATCACCTAGTCCACCTCCTACCCAAACCAGGGCTTACCTTCAAAGCTTGCTCACTGTGCGGTCAAGTTATGTTCTGACCCGTGGTGGGATAAAGAAGAGGCCCAACATATTTCTCTATTAAAGATGTTCATGCCCATGAGGACGTAAAGCTTAATTGCACACTTTGTAGTAGCATACCATGTTTTGGGCTGATGCCTTATAGAATTAGAGAGAAGCAGCCAATTGTGCAGAGATTACCCATTAAACTGTTATGAAACGTCTTATCAAGTGCCTTCTCCCAGCCAAGGTTCAGGACATGAATCACAGTCAATCCTGAAATATCTGGTGAAAAAGGTCCCAAAACAGTAATGGATTGTCCAGATGGTCCAGCTTTGAATTCTTCAGGGCGTATCTAGAAAGATGGAATCTTTCAGCACAAACCTCAGGTATGGCAACTTGCTCTTTATCAGGTTTCTAATCTGCACTGTAATCTCCAACATAGTATTGAAGAATAAATATTAGGCACACCTCTTAAGTGGCAGGGGTTACTTTTTGACAAGGTAATGCTCCTGATACGTGTTTGTAAGCCCTAGAGGGATGCCTGGGGAGAAAACACTAAGCCTATGATGGAAGGCTTCCAATAACTTGGCCAGCATGAAAGAGCTCAAACTGGCACGGGTTGTCCACAGTGAGTCTTTCCCAAATGCTCTGAAAATATCTGGTACTGACTGGATCTGAAAGGAAGAGCTCCATGTACAAAGCTCTCACCTTCCCACACTTGCTCTGGATGTGTACAGGACAGCCATTCTCTTATACAATCACAGGTGATGCGATCACTTTTTCTTGGGACAAATGCAATTCACAGTCCACCAGCTGAGGGAATCTGATGGACTCCCAAGCAAAGGCACCCCAATTTCTGTAATCTTCCAGGACCAAAGGTCACCATTCCTTTTCTGATACTCATTGCAAAAAGATGGATCGTTGGGGAGAGAAGCCAGCCACCTCCCCAGCCATACGTGAAACCATCCGTCTACCAGTCAGACCCAGAATGCAACTGTAGTAGAAAAGATTTTCATGCATCTTTCTTGCATGCTGTCTTCACTATGCCAGGGAAAAGGCATGTTTCTCTTGCTGTCAAATGAGTCAGAAACCCCCAAAATGTTGGTCTAACGCTCACATCCTCCTGCTGTGAAAGTGCTAAAGTTTGATCCTAACCATGAACCAATACTGACAATGATTCATTAAAGGGATAGACCCGATGAGCCCAAGAAGTGCAAAAACACAAGGTGTATGTAAGGTCCATCATGTGACAGCTCAACTCTATTTTATTTTACCATCATTTTCTTCACCTATGCCTGGGCAAACTTGTGCCATCTATCCATCAGAGATCATTGCTCTGCAGTCATGACTGAATGGCTTCAAACTGGAAGAAAGTAGATTTAGATTAGATATTAGGAAGAAAATGTTCACTTTGAGGGTGGTAAGGCACTGGAACAGGTTGCCCAGAGAATGTGTGGAAGCTCCATCCCTGGAGGTGTTCAAGGCCAGGCTGGATGGGGCTTTAAGCAACCTGGTCTAGTGGGAGGTGTCCCTGCCCATGGCAGGGGGGTTGGAACTTCATGATCTTCAAGGTCCCTTCCAACCTAAATCGTTCTATGATTCTATGATAATCATGGTTGCTCACCAATGAATGCATCATTCCCCACTTCAAAATGATGGAAGTAGGAGAGGAAGGATTTTACCAAAACTTCATGCTACTGTAAACAAAGCGAAAGCTTTACTTGGTACATGGAGATGGGAGCAATTAAAACTGCCTTGCCACTAGATAAAACAGATGGAATATTAGAAAGTCTTAGGAATGGAACAGAACATCCTAACTGCAGTTTATCACTTCATGGGCTACATACATCTTGAACATGCGATGCTGGCAAGTCCCCACCTCACAAGGTTCAGAGAAGGACACAAACCAAAGGTGTGAAAAGGTTTCCTTCTGGGCAAAAAGCAAGTAAGAAGACTAGGATCCTTCAGTCTAGGCAAAAGAGTAACTGAAGAGCAACGCCATGGAGGTCTGTAAGATTCTGTGTGGCTGGGAAGCGGAGAGAGGCTAGGGACCAGTGTTCACAGTCACATCCAAGACGTAGGGGGCATTAAATAAGGCTGGTAGGTGGCAAGTTTGGAACAAACAGAAGAAAGTAGTTCTTCTCACAGTAAGCACTTAAGCTGTGGTGCCTCCCTGTCACATGGTGGATGCTAAAGGTTTCCATGAATTCAGGAGGAGACTGGTCAAGTTCATAGAAGACAAATTCATTGAAGGCTATGAAATACAGATATATTTTTGCTTTAGGAGATTCCTGAGCCTCAAGGATCCTTGATCCTTGAGCTTTGAGAGTTTTCTGGGGAAATGATACTGAATGCTCATTCTTTTCTAATCTTCCTACAGCGAACACTGTTGGAGACATGCTACTAGGCCAGCCAAACCTTTTCTCCAGCCCAGTGAAGCTGCCCTTTCATCATAATTTCTCTCAAAGAGAAGAACTCGGAGGTCGACTAGAGCTGGGTAGCTATACGGAACACCAACCCTCTCCAGCTACAGGACAGCACTCAGAGTCATAATCCTCACCTGATGATTAGCATACATCTTAAATTGAAAGATATTAAAGAGCTAAGCAGGCAAATGGTGTACTGTAACTTCAAACTATATTCATGTATGTTTTATTGTTTCCTTATTTCTAATCTTGTCATTCTAACTTTTAAATAAACCATGACTTTATATATTAGTAGACATACTTCCTCAATTTCCTTTATTTCCCTGAGGGTCTGGTACTGGTGAAAAATTCAGATACCATCTGATATACTTTTTAATCTTTCACCGCAATAAATCCAGATAAATCAATATAAAGACATCTCTGGAGCTGAGATGTTTGAAGAATTTGCTGGCTGGAATAGGCCTCCAAGTCAAGCTAGAAGAATCAGTGTTTGGTGGCAAGCTGCAGGTGCCAGGCTTTTGTGGGGAGTTCCCTTTTGGAGACTTCTTCCCAGAGCTGCACCTGCAAGAAACTGAAGGCAAAGATGCATTTCACAGCTTCAGAAAAACTCCCTACTGTGAAAGAGCTGTTTGTGATTTGTACTGCACTAAAATTGTCTGGAAATATCTCCTTCCATTTCCATCTCAAGGATGGCTTTTCAGTACCATTAAGACACAATTATTTTAAACTGGAATAGAAAATAGGAGGATGTACGTTCAAAAGGAGCTTTGGAGACCTCTCATCTAACCATCTGCTCAAACCAGGGCTAACTGCAAAGTCAGATCAGGTTTTTCATCCACTCAGTTTTTGGAAATCCACAAGGATGGAAATTCCACAGCTTCTCTAGGTACCTGTTCCATACTTAAGAACCCACATTCTGATTTTTTTCCTCTTGAGTCACAATTTCCCTTGCTGCCTCTGAGAAAAGTCTGCCTCTGTTCTCCCCACAACCGTCCTTGAGGCAGTGGAAGACAGCAATCAGATCCCCTCTTTAACTTTTCTTCTCCAGCCTAAACAAATCCAGTTCCCTCAGCATCTCCTCAGTCCACCTCTACCCCTCTATAGCCCTCCATCTTAGTGGCAAATGTTATTTTTCCACAGTACTATCCAGAAAATATTTGCCCCCCCCCTTTTTTTTTTTTCTTCTTTTTTAAAATGTTGTGGTTGCTATGCTGCAACACAAAATACAAAAGCACTGTTGGAGAGAGTTTGCTGGAACACCCTCCCACCATTTTCCCACTCATTTGATGCACTATCAACAGGAGCAGGCACTCATAAGACTGCACAGATTTGCTAATAAAGTGTTGTTTTCATCACTCTGGCTTAACGTAAAGAGAAAACCACTGACAAAAAAGGGACACAGAATCAAGTTGCCTCAGTTATATTGTGTTAGTTGAGCTACAGTAACTTATCACATATATGCTGATAGCAAATAGTGAATGGGAGAAAAAAAAAGTTAAGATGAATATTAAAGAAAGAAATGATAATAGCTAAGGCCCATATGAGTCTGCAAGAAAACAGAGGGGTTGGTGTGCACTGTTGAGCTGTTGTCATAGGCTCTTTGCAGACTTTGGCAAGCTCTGCTAAAATCCTGTCACATCTGGAATATCTCAAAACTTTTGTGTTTTAATGAAAGCTAGAAGCACTCTGTTGCTTGAGAAGAGCTTTCTGATCTGGAGTACAGGATTATTTTGGACAGGGTGGTGGAAAGAGAAGAAAAAAAGCTTTTGAGATGTTGAAGAAATGTATAGTCCAACCTTTTTCTCCTGGTCCTAGGAAAGGTATTCCTCAGCCAGATATGAACATGTGCATGGAAATGATAGAAAATCCAAATACCAATCCAGAGTGCCAAGCATCAGATTGGTAACAAAGAAAGGCTCCTACCTGATAGTCTGGCTTGGTGAAGTAGTCTAGGCTTGCAATATGATCCAGAAAAAGATGGAACTCTGAAGGCATGTGTTTTAGCAGCATTCGGTGTTCATACTTTTCTTTTATCATGCCAACCTGCTCCTGGAAAAAAGAAAATATCTCAGAGCCAAGAATCTCTTCTATTGCTTCATATTCCTACAGTCTTATCATTCCTGGAATACCATCTAGTCTTAACTTTCCTGGAACACAGCCTCTTCTTAGACCCAGCAGTGTCCACATACTTGTCCTAGCAAAGTGAGGTTGATCGCTGCAGGCAAAGGTCAAAGGGGAATCCCGAATCAGAAACACTCTTCAGAAGCTGTCCCTTTAGCAGAGCTTTCCGCACAGGTGACCTATTTCTTTCCAGTGATTTTATTCGCCAGCACGAAGTATTTCCAAGACAACATGAACAGTTATCTTTATTCTGTTTAACTTTTCAGTTGCGATTCCCATTTGGCTTGTTTGGCATGGCAAAGCATTATCCTACCCCCTTTCCAAAGGCTCTGTTTATTTGTCAAAAGGACAGCTCGGCCTTTACACGTTTTTTGTTTGCTCTGCAAGAATAAATTCAGAGTCAATTGATCAAATATGATTAACAATGTGCATAAGAAAATGTCTAGCTACTCCAAGTAAGACAAGCTCCACACTGTGTGTCAGAACACACAAAAGCAGGTTAGCATCTTGCAGCAAGATGTGATGAAAAGCAGGCTCTGGCTTTACTTCAGCAAAAAGCTGCAAAGAATGGCAGGAGGAATAATAAGAGTCATAATAATAAAAATGTAGCACCCTATCTTAAGCACAGACATTAGGTTTCCTACCTTATCTTTGATCTTTCGCCATGGAAGCTGACCAACCGCAAACTCCACCAACATGTAAAAGAGGGACCACAGATCATCATGTCTACCCATCTCCTGGAGAAAAGAGAGACGAAGACTGAGGAGCAAAGTTCCATGCTGCTCAGTAGTCCAGGTGTGCTCTCCAGATGAGCTACCTCATTTTAAAAAGCAGGAAGAGAAGTCATACTTCCCGTTTAATGCTTAAAGAAACCAGATTAAAAACTAAAGATGCAAAATCAAGCATTTCTTAAACTTGGCAATGTCAATACAGTCACGTGAATAACCTCATTTTTCCCCTTTTTGTGAATATATTAGGAAAGATTTTATCTATACAACAAAGCACAAATTTTCTATTCACTGAGTAGACAGGAGCGCAATATTTATTAATGGGATGTGGAATAACCTCGATTAAGAAGAAAAACCCCCAAACTGTGTGTAGAAAGTCTTTGTTATTATTGTTTTTAAGCTAAATATCATTCAAACTCTTTTCACAAGACAGCATTTAGTCAAGGACTTTTGCAAAACACTCATCATCAAGCACCACAACAATTTACAGATTTATAACATTTCATTTTATAACTCTCCTCCTGGTCTAGCAAATGGGAAACTGAAACATGGGGATTAAGGCTGAAACTGTCAAAGCACATGAAGCCATTTTTGATGCTCAACATCCAATGTCTAGAACATGATTTCTCAGAATAGCATGCATTATACAGCAATTTTGTGTCTAAATATACCTTCAGCTGATGCCAGCTACTGCTGGCACTATTCAGCTCTTCCAAAAATTGTACCTCAGGTTTCTCAGTCTTTGCCAGCAAATAGTATGAATTCATGATGGCATTCAACTGCCCTCCCCATATCACACTTTCCGCATTCTGCAGACAATAACTTCCTTCCCTAAAAAAAACTTGAAACTTCTTCATATGTCACAGGTCATTCTACAGACTCATCCCAAATAAGTCCAGAAACCTGGAGGCAATGCAAGAGGGCTGAGAGTTTCCATCTGGCAAGCACTTAGCAGCAGAACCAGAGGACTTAGTTCACTGTCTACAAAGGAACATTACTGAAATAGGACAAACGAGTGTTTTGAGAAGAACGTTGGATGAGATTTCTGGAAGCATTTAGAATGAAACAAGCCAGACACTATGTAAATAATGGCCCTTTTCAGGGAAAGATAAACCTAGCTTTCACTAGGTGGCTCTTTGCCTCACAGCATGATGTTAATATTAAAAATTCCAGGTGGAGAATGGATTTGGGAACCTGGAACTTGGTAATTCACAGCCAAGTTCTGCTAGAAACTAGTAGCAAGCAGCCTAGCACCTAACCCGATTTCCACTTTAGTGTGTGGTGGTTTTTTTTTTATTAAAAAGTGTCTGATAATGCAATAATTACAATTATTGAGGCTGCCAACTAGAGAGGATCCATTAACTAAATCATAATTTTGATTTTACAGTCAACAGCCTTGACTACCTAATGGAATTCATCTAATATACTAAGTTCTGTAGGTAACAAACCAGAACTCACGCCTCTTACTCCTCTGCTCCTGAAAACAGGTTTCCAAGGAGAAATCACCTTGCTGATAACTCCTTATAACCAAAAAATACTCACTCGGTTTTTGTGTGCATTCACCGAAGCGTAGCGGACCGTTCCTCGAAAACCAGCAACATTGCGAGGCTGAAGGGAGACAACAGAAAATCTCAGAGACAGAGCAGATTACTAAATCCCCAGTGCAGCTAACACATGAGAACTTCCCATCTATACTGTTATTTCATATGTGCCCAAGGGACACAAAGCTGTTACTGCCTTCATCTGCTCTAGCAGCCAGCTAAACAGACAGCATTCTCCAATTCTGCATTTCTAGAAAAGCTTATTTTACGGAGAGGGCAAGGTGGTTACAGTGATAGGTTAGAAGAGTAATAGTCTAGGCATAGAGCTAAGAAATTTATCCAAGATCTTATTTTCCTTTTTAAACTCCAGGTCAAGGGAAAAGCTAGTAAAGAAGTGCAAGTGCAAAACTGAGTCATGAATAACATGAGCTAAGCAAAGCCTGAGGGCAGCCTGGTCAGGACAAGAACGGGGATCCCCTACTCTGACACAGGGCAGCTGACCATAGGTGTTTGCTGACACTGCTTGTCAACATCCTCTGTAAGACTCAAACAAAGTAAGAATCTCTGACTTTCAGAGTTCTTGCTTTTTTCCCAGATTCTTCCCAGTATATCCTGAACCATGCATCTTTATTTTCTCTTTCTCTGATTCTCTTGTTCTTTATGTCCTCGGGAAGCGAAGGCTTGATACAGAGGCCTTGGGAAGAAAGCGGTCCTCCTGTGACTATTCCTCCAAGCTGGAGGCTTTGCCTGTTCTGGGGGCTGAGCAACATTTCCAACTCTTTCCACTGCCGCCTCCACAAGAACATTAGACCATGTGAGTTCACTTACTGAAGATGTCATTGTTCTGAAAAAAAATACATTTAAATAATGACATCCACCAAATCCTTTCAGCTTAGCTAGAAGCACCAGAGCTAACAGCAGTGCTTTCAAAATTTGTGTGGCAAAACCAGGTTCAGGTGAGACATCTTCCATAATAAAGCTAAGCTTGGGCAAAGAACTAAACATACTCATAATTAAGATCCTACTTCTGCAGAAATCTGAGCAACAACTCTAATTGGGTAACTTGTCCCACTTAGGCCAGCTGATTCATGTTTGTTCTTTCAGCTGTGCCTGTGCTTTCAGAACTAAGCCTAAAACTCTGGAGTTTTATTCTAGGGCACCTTTCTGTCAGTTTAAATACATACAATTCAGTTGCTTCCTTTTAGGTACCGGGAAGTTGCTCTGAATTTCAATACTCTCAGAAAGAATAAAACTTCAAACATTTTTTTAACAAGTTCACCAACACACACCTGAATGGTGTATAATGCAGCTCTTAAGTTACAGTGACTCCAAGCAAAAAAAGCCACAAGTCTGTCTTATAACTCCTTTACGTTAATCAAATACTCCACCAGGAGAACCCATATGCATAGCCAATGCACTTCATACAGCATTTAATCTTGCAGTACACGAGCTTAAGCTATAAGCTATTTATTTAGCAGCAGGTAATAGTCGAGATATTATATTCATGACCATTTACCTCATTCCTCCTGGAGCATACATTTAGGATTCCCACTGACAAATGACTGCAAAATATTTTTCAGAATTCCAGTGAATTCACTCAAGTGATTTCCTGAAAAGCATGATACTGGCCACTGGAATACATCTGTTGGAATCGGCCATCACCGAAATGTCCTCTACACATTCTAAAGTGAGAGGATATTCCTCTCTTTCCGTACGAGTGGAAGCTAGCATGTTTGGATACTTTTAATGAGCCATAAAAAAAACCACCCTAGTGTATTGGAACAACTCTAGTGTGTAAACCATAATGTTTTCAGAACAAACATTGTTCAATGTTTGCAGTCCATGGGAGCTTGTCTTTCATGTTCCTTCCCTACTTCAATGTCTTCAGTTATCAACCATGTATGTACTGAACCAAGTACCACATGTGCTGGTTTCAGTATGGTTGACAATGTCTCTGAAAATCTTTTTAGATCAATACTTACTATTTCTGGCAGACAGGCTATCTTTGCAGCCTTTGGTTAGATCTATTCTGAAACCAACTCTAGGCAGTTCGCAAATGTATTCCCCTTCTCTTTCAGAAGCCAACCAAAACCCCACCCATCTTTTTAACTGTGCATTTGCCCCACAGCCAACATGAAACAGTTCCCCAAGTTGGTCCTGCAGCTGAACCCAAAGGGCTCTCTCTCCCGTCCTCTCATGTGGTACCTCAGCAAAGGGAGAGCACTGCAACTGAGCAAGACTTTGCAATTGTTGTGACAGGACATTTAGAGCTTTGAACAAAATACGCAGATGCTAACTGTTAACGGCATCTTTTTCTCATAAAGGTTTGACCTCTTTTAACCATATTTGACTGCCCTGCCAGTCACACGGCAATTAGTCATGCCTTTTGACTGCGTCACTAATCACTGCAATCAAATATTTCCATGGCTGTGGGGAGACCTTGTTTTGCATCCAAACAAACAGTCCCTGCCTGAGCATTTATTGTAGCACATGCTGTATACCCAACTGTTATTGACTTTTCTTCTGAACTCATCAACATTAATTTTCCAGATGATTTCTTTACACACTTCCATTTCTTCCAGTTAACAAATTTCACCCCACCACTGCGTTGCCCAGCAGTGGAAAAGAGCCTGGATAAAGCATCCTTGCTGTCCAGACCGGTCCATATTTGACACAGAACTAAATTGTAACAGTTAGGAGCTTCGGACTACAGAATCATGTATAACCCAACTGATTTGAATCCCCAAAATGACACAAAGGTAATAAGCTATCAAGCTGAAATGTAATTTTAAACCATACATGATTTATTTTTTAATTTTTCCACATCAGTATTACTATCAAAAATGTTACTCAGGATAAAGTATATCTCTTCCTGCATTCAGATTGTGTCTAGCACAAAGCTAAAGTAATTTATTACACAGAGCTGTCAGGGAGATGACAGAGATATGAAGTATATTGCATTGTGTTATAAGATTGGTTTAAAATGAGTTTTAGCTTGGGAGAACGTGTTAGATCACTACCACAGAGCAAAAATTATACTCTGTGTTCCTTTCAATATATTAGCAATGTACACTACCTCACAAAGACAAGGATGAGGTAACAAAATCCTGTACGAAGTAGATGCATTGTTCCAAACTGCTCTTTTGCACCCATCAGCTTTTCATCATTCTCCAGTTCAAACACTCATGATCATTTGTATTTTAAGTGCCAACAGTGTCTCCTTTATGATTCACATGAAGTCTGTCTTTCCTGTATATGTTTCCTTTATTTCAGAGGTGCTCGTATTTCCTCATTTCACTGAATCCCTGCTCCTTACACCACATTCATACATAGAGATTAAAATTTTTCCTCTTGCCTCACTGGTCCCTAGATTGATATTTTGAATGTCCCAGTTTCTGTCTTCTTCCTAAAAACTTATATTTGGATGCCAGTGCTTTCTTCCTGCTGGTCTTACGCCTGTGGTGCTCTCATGGAACATGACCGCTGGTTCCTCCCCAGCTTTCTGGCAGCCTGTGTGAACAACTCATGAGATCCACCACCTTTGCCCCTGGCAGACCTGTTGTCATCTAGGATCATTAACCCACCTCTCCTGGAAACGGGAAAAGGATTTCCAGCAGTAAGAAAATGAAAAGAAAGTTAGCGCAGATTGAAGAGAAGATGGTAAGGGGAGAGAGGAAATGCCACAGATCATGGGAAGCATTTGGAGATATATCTTGGATTGAAATGACTTGTTGGAAGAGTTGTGATAAGAAGGAAAAGTGAAAGGAAGCTATAACTGAACCAAAAGGAAGTATCTCTGACTTCTAGGAATCTCCTGCTTCCATCAGTTACGCTTATGGGGGAGATGCAGCGATATGCATCTCCACCTCTCCTGTGGAGACAAATTCTGCATCTCTTACATGCGTTTTGACTTGCTAAATTAAACAGCAGCACTTTGTAGATTCATTAATGACAGCAGCATATTTTATCCCAATGGGGAGTCAGAAATGAATACAGGAAGCTGGAGCCAAAAATGTAAGATGAGAAAACTCCCCTCCCCTTGCCTCTGAAATTACAGAAGTGACAAAATCACAGTCTCTGGCACCACCCAAATGTCTGCCAGGCCCTCAGGCAGAATCCCAAGTGTTCTAGGCCTCTGCATCACATTTAGGTAGCTGTCACGATCAGATATCATGAGGGAAAAAAGAAAACCAGGTGTAATTCGGACTTCCATATATAACAAAAGCACAAAACAAAATGAAAACCCAGAAGCATGGTGATGGCTCACTCACAACTCATAGCAGAGATGGTTACGAGCAGCGGATGGGAAGCCAACGCATCAAACACAGCCTCAAAAGAAGAGCCCAAAAGAACTGTAAAACAGAGAGAAACCCAAAGAAAAACATGATAAAAAACAACAAAATGAGAAAAAAATTAAACAGAAATGAATTAAAAAACAATTTCATATTGTATCCCTCCAGAAACCTGGGTCTCTTGTTTAGCTGTTGCCATCTCCGAGCATCCTTCCCAGGGCTGTTGGCCCACGCTGTATTTAGTTTCATTTCGACACAAAGCATTGAGTGAGCCTGTGTGGTTTGTGAGTGCTCTGTAAAGTGGTGAGAGGGGTCCCTCTAGAGACTAACTTCCCCCTGCTCACATATCACACTTAATAACATAAAAAACAAAGTTGAGAGCAGAGATGCACACAGCCTAACCACAGGTCAGTTGTATGGTTCTACCGTGACTCCACTCCCTAAAATTATCTGATACCTACACCTCCCTTCCTCCCCCAGTCAAACTGATCTGATAGAGCAAATCTCCCTGCTGGTTTTCTCATCTCTTGCCCTTTTCCCCCAGAGCAAGTTCTAACATTAGTGAATAAGTTCTAAAAATGAAGTGATGTCCCCTTCTCCATTTGAATTGTCACGGGTTCCCACCAAGATATTTGGCTTGTTTCTGCACCCACCACCTTGCTTTCTCACCAGCAATCTCCAGACAATCACTGGCTTGCCAACTTTACAGGCTTCACTGCTGCCAACTTCATCTCCCCCTTCCTTGATGACTCTGCAGTGCTTCACCCAGAGACAG